AAATAAATAAATAAATAAATAAATAAATAAAGTGGATTAGACTTGTTCCATGAAGTCTTAGAAGTAGAACCAAATCCAATTATTACTAGAAACTCCAGTTCCACTCAACAGCCAACCAGGAGTACAGGCCACAGAGTGTTCCCAAAAGGCTGTATGTTCCCTCTGCATGTAAGCAGGCCTGCCAGAGATCTGCAGATTCCATAAACTAAAATGGGTGAATATTTCCGAGTGGGACCATGCATCCTCTAAAGGAAAAGGAATGAAAAAGAGGGTGGGGAGGAACACAGACATTATGTTCTGTAAAAGAATCAGAAAGATCCAGTTGCAGTGTAATGTTCTAATATTCAGCTCTTCTGTGAGTGGACGCACGCCGGGAGCAGGAATCTGAAAGAAACTAGAAACAGGCAATGGCAAGAAAATATGACATGCTATAAGGTAATCAGAAATGCCATCACTGTGATTTTCATAAGCAAAAGAAAGGTATATGGTCGCCATCATCAATAAACTTGTAGGTATATGGGGCGGCCACCAACCCGTAACTCTACAACCTGAACAAAGACCTAGAGCTGACATTTCCTGAGTGCGCACTGTAAGCCAGAGAGCGTCCTTGTGTACTTTATCTGAATGATCTCCATGAACTTTCTATAGCCCTAGGAAACAGGTATTATTATTTCCCCCATCTGACAGAGAAGAAACAAAAGGATGGAAAAATTAAGTAACCTGCTCAAGATGTACGGCTAATTAGTGGTAGAACCAGAACTAGAATCCCGGAAGCCTGATACCAGAGCCTCTGTTCTTAAACTAGCTTGGCCTCCTCCAGGATAATCTCTAACTATATCATAAGACCTCATAAAATTTCAATAAAATGTTTAGTAAATTAATTTAATGTCTTCTAATTTATAAAGAAAATATTCACCAGGTAAAAGTTGGTAGAAATCTAATGGCCATAGATAAAATAGTCTAGAGCACTCATTCCCAAATGTTAGTATGCATAAGGAATGCCTGCTGCTTGCTAAATTACAGATCCTTCAGCCCCACCTCAGACATACTGCATGAAATGTCACGGAGTATGATCCAGAAATCTGCATGTTTAACAAATACCTTGAATAATTCTAATGCAGGTGACCCATACACCATACTCTGAAAAAGCTGACCTAAATAATGCAATGAGAACCAATAAAAGAAAAAAATGTTTTTGATTAAAAAATGGGCAGAGAATCTGAATAGACATTTTTCCAAAGAAGACATACAGATGGCCAACGGGTACATAAAAAAGTGCTTAACATCACTTAATTTGCAGTGAAATGCAAATTAAAACTACAATGAGATATCGCCTCACACCTGTTAGCACAGCCAGCACAAAAAATAACAAGTGTTGGTGAGGATGTGAAAAAAAGGAAACCCTTGTGCACTGTTGATAGGACTGTGAATAGGTGCAACCACTACAGAAAACAGTCTGAAGGTTCTTCAAAAAATTAAAAATAGTCTACGGCCATGCTATCCTGAACAGGCCTGATCCCATCTGATCTCGGAAGCTAAGCAGGGTCAGGCCTGGTTAGTACTTGGATGGGAGACCACCTAGGAAGACCAGGTACTATAGGTGTAAAAATTAAATTAAAAAAATAATAAGGGATTGTAAACTGACAAGGTCCTTGCAATCTGTGAAGTCAACCAAGGGTTGCCTCACCTAAAAAATAGAAAATAAAAAAATAGAATTAAAAATAGAACTACCATATGATCCAGCAATTCCACTTCTGGATATTTATCTGAAGAAAACAAAAGCACTAATCTTGAAAAGATATATAACACTCCTATGTTCACTGCAGCATTATTTACAATAGCCAAGATATGGAAACAACCTAATCTCATATATATGTGATGGAATATTATTTAGCCACACAAAATAATGAAATCTTGTCATTTATGACAACATGGATGGACCTAGAGGGTATTATGCTAACAGATATCAGTCAGAGAAATATGAATACCGTATGATCTCACTTACATATGGAATCTAAAAGAACAAACAAAAACAAAGCTCATAAATATAGAGAACAGACTGGTGGTTGCCAGAGGTGGAGATGGGCGAAATGGGTTAAGGAGGTCAAAAGGTACAAACTTCCAGCTATAAAATAAATAAATCAAGGATGTATCATACAGCATGGTGACTATAGTTAATAATACCGTATAGCATATTTAAAAGTTGCTGAGAGTAGATGAGATCTTAAAAGTTCTCATCACAAGAAAAAAAATTTTTGTAAATATGTATGATAACAGATGTTAACTAGATTTTCTGTGGTAAACATTTCACAATATATACAAATATCAGACTATTATGTTATATACCTGAAACTAATATAATGTTGTAGGTCAATGATACCTCAATAAGAAAAAAAATTTAAACAATAAAAAGTAAAACAGGTTTGTTTTTATATAGCACCTTTCTTTTAAAATATTCCAGACAGGCTCCAGGTACTCATTAGTTCTACTCAAGGCCAATATGTTCCATGGAAATCCTATCATTCCCTCTGAATCACAGTTGATTGAGAAGGAAAATAATCCCAGAAGAGGGCCCTGCCCTATGGTACAGAGAAGTATATGACAGGGCCTGGAAACCAGGTAGCGTCTGTTGATTTCCCCACCCAGAGTTCTTTTTCCTAAATTGTTTCCAGGAAATACAGACAAGGTCACTTATTTATAAAGAATCCTGTAGCTTCTGTCCTATGTCTCTTACTTGCAATCATTAAAAATTTCTCCATCGGCCCCAAATGCAATATCTAAGGGTGGCTCTAAAGTCTGCATTGCAAAGGCAATGCAACATATCTCCTGGATGAAGTTATTGAGGAGGCAAAAGTCAACTTCCGGAGGGAATGAAATCTTGGGATTGACATTCATGGCTCGGATCACATCCTGAAAAAAAAGAAGATGGCATCACCTTGTTACCAACCTGTGACAAGAAACTCTGACAATCCTAAGGACTTTATGACTAGTGAGAGATAAAAAAACATTAAAAAAGCACACGAGTAAAAACAAGTTAAAGTAGAGAAGGAGCATGTGTGCTAAAACGAGAAAGCCTCATTGAAAAGGAAGGAGGAAGGATGGCAGTACAAATGACATAATAAAGGTCTCAAGAGAGTCTCAAAAAACAAAAAGGAATAAAGAAAGAAAACCCTTAGTAACTTTTATTTATTCTTTCCTTATTATTTTTTTTAATTCTGAGCAAGTTATATGATGTGCCAACACAGAACTCTGACTCGTTCATAATCTATAATAATAACAATTATAATAGCTTGGTTTTTTTTTTTTTTTTGAGAGTTCACTTAGTGCCAAGTCTTGTGCTAAGTAAATCATCCTTTTTCTTTCATTTAATCCTCTCAAGGTCATAGGTCATGACTTTATGGGGTCATGACCATTGTTGCTCCCACTTAAGGATTATGAAATTAAAGCATAGCTCTAGAGGTTTAGTAAATGTGAAGGTCAAACAGCTGGTAAGCCAGGATGCAAATCCATACCTATCTTTCCCCAAATCATTGCTCTTATGCACTATGATAGTCTATCTTCCAATCTTAAGAGCCCATCTAAAGAGCAGAACTATAAAGCTCAGAATATTTTTCCCCATAAAATGTCTAAGAAACAGCCAATAAAGACTGGTTATACAAAGTAAATTGGATGTTGCTCATTTCTGCTCTCCTGTTACATAGAAGCGATCCTAAGCGCTGAATGGATTTCTGAGTTATTAGTATTTGGAGTAAATGCGAATACAGCAACAGCAAATCAGCTCCAATAAGAGACCCAACACTTACGTTTACACTGCTTTGGGAATCATATAGATCAAGATGACAAATGATATAATCTGAGACAGCATCCTCAAAGTCATTGGACCCCACATAAGATGGTGACAACGATTTCCTCACACGGATCTTGAAATGTCTGAATGCCATTTTGGCTACATGGAATGCCTCCTGCACATAAAAATTGCAGCAAATTTATTTAGTGAGAGGAGAGGGTCAAAGAGGTCCAAAGCAAGGAATGAAGAAAGAATGCCTACCAAAAATTCAACATCATATGGGTCTCCTAATAACTAAACACAGTTGGTCAAAACTATTTTCAATCTGGGAGAATATACATATCTCAATTTTAAAAAGTACATTAATATATATACTACTATCCACATTCACTGTATTTCCAGACAGTGGACCATCGTTCTGGTGATCCTGAGTGCAAGAAGCAGGACAGTACAGAGGTTCAAGGAAATAAATCATCTATGGTTACATAAATACTTGAAAGGTGTTAGTTGTTGCTATGATCCTATAGTAAAATCATGTGACTGGTCAAAGAATATGAGAAAATTATCAATCTAGTGTTTATGTTAAACATAGATGCATATCAAGTGTCTGGCATGTTTTCTGACATATAGTAGTTCAAGAAATATTTATTAAATGACTGTTACGTTGTTGTCACTGGGAAAACTTAGTTATGCATGAAAGACATGGCCTCTATGTTCACAAAACTTTAACCAATTCACTAAGTGATTCTTAATTATATAAACCAAGGATTGGCAAACTTTTTCTGTAAAGAGTTGGATAGCATATATTTTAGGCTTTGCAGGTCACATACTGTCTTTGTCACATATTTTTTTTACTACCTTTTAAAAATGTAAAACTCTTCTTAAAATCTTAGCTTTCAGGTGGTATTTCTCTTAGAAATACGGGCCAGGGCCAGATATGGCCCACAGGTCCTAGTTTGCTAACCCTTGATATAAATGAATACATGATAAAGTTCAGTAGATTCCAATAATTCTTCTCTCATATCATTGGTCTGTTCTGTTTTTTAATATTTAACTGTTCTCATAATGAACTCAGTATCTTAATATGGTAACCCAAGAAACAAATGCATTTGTTTTGGGAATTAAGGATTATATATGAGCACTTTTTAATCTGCCATACTCAAGTAGCTGATATGTTAGCAGCTTTAGTAACTACTCTTCGTTGAATAAACAGAAGAGTTAACACAATTATAGCCTCCTAATTTGCTAAGAATGGGAGGAAATCCATCAAATGATAGCCATTAGCAATAATATATCTCCTGGTGTACCTATGCCCATTTAGAAGACTCGATGCAAATCAATTTAGCATATGCCCATTTGAGATAGTCCAACAGTTACGACTACTTCAACAAATGTCTGGTCAGTATCGGTATTAATAAATATGAATAGTTACTGATTGTGAAAAATGATTCATCCTAAATACTTGCAATGGAAGGAAGGAAGAAAGGAAGAAGGGAGAAAGGAAATCCCACCCTATTGCAGGGACCTCAGGATCTACCAGGATCTTTTTAAGATCCTGGATCTTTTTAGTCTGTACTGTTCAGTTTACCAAAAATTGTCTCCCTGCTACACCCAAGGCCCTCTGGAGCGCAGCCTCAGCGTCACATACCACTGTGGCGATGTAGATGATCCGCTGCACGGTCTCGGCTTTGTCGATGCAGCGCCGCAACAGGCACTGGGCATCCAGGCGGGCCTGGGAATAGGCATCGCTGAACCGAGACAGGAGAGCAGCCTTGCGCGCCACACTGGACAGTTTAGCGCGATTCGGAGACGGAGTCCTGATCTTCACCACCGCAGTAGAGGGGCTACCTGACCTGCTGCGGCTGCGGTTGCGGATGGGGCTATGTGTGGGGCTGCGGCTGGGGCTGTGGCTGCGGCTGCGGCTGCGGCTGCGGCTGTGGCTGCGGCTGTGGCTGTGGCTGCGGCTGTGGCTGTGGCTGTGGCTGCGGCTGCGGCTGCGAGGGGCAGGGCTAGGAGACCGGCTCCTGGTGGACCTGTTGGTAAGCAAGAATCAGCAGGGAGGCGCTCTGATTCACTTCTCTGTCTTTCCTGGACTCTGCTTGTTCTCCCCACACAAGGTGCAAATGATACTCAGGAGTCACGGCCCCTGCTAGCAGGGAGAGCAGCAGTTGCCTCCATGACCTGCCCACCAGGCCTGTGAGAGGCACTCTCTCCATGAGGCCTCAAATGTGACCACAACCACGAAAGAAGACTCTATTTGCATGGTGAATTAAAATTCACAAAGCATGTTCACTCATTGAGCATCTCAATTTATCCTTTAAGCAGTCCTGTGAGGCCAGCATTGATAGCTGGCCATTTTACAGATGGTGAACTTGAAGCTCAGAAAAATTAATCAGCTGTCCTAGAGTAACACGGCGAGCAAGAGCTCAAGTTAAAGAAGTCAGATTTTTAGTATTTCTACCTCCAACCTTGGTAATTACTCCTTATGATATAAAAGCTTACACCATATGAGACTCATGGTCTAAAATGAGATGAACACTGAACAATGAGAAAGATCTATGTTGCAGTTCCAGCTCCAACATGTCATAGCAATGGGAGCATTTGCAATCATTTTTCCTCCCCAGAGCCTGAATTTTCACCTACACAATTTTTGCTCTATTTTGGGGTGAAGGAGGGGTTGGAAGATCAGGTGAGCTAATACATGTGGAAATACTGGGTTAATTGGAAAGCATTTATCAGTGAACCAGGCACGGCTACCAAGTACAATGTAAATTACTGGACTAGCTAGCACAGAGGAAATGGGGCCCCCAAAAGGGAAGTTTTGTAGAAAAAACTGCGGGGCAAAATATAGTGCAAAGCAGACACTGAAGGGGAGCGGGGAAAGCCCTCATTTATAGTGTTTACCAGTTTCCATGGTGGAACGGATACTCCAACCATGGCCAATTTCAAGCTATCAATGTGATGCCACTGAATTTGGCGTTAGGAAGAAATGCACAGAATCCTAATCTAGCAGGAGCTAGAACAAGCCGACACCAGCATAACACTGGCAGAGTGATTCCCCAAAATGAAAGACTAAGGTGACAGTTAAGGGAATGAGAACCTGGGATGGGAGTGGCTTGATAGCCTGGATCGGGGCTGGCAGCAGGAGAGGTAAAGTGGGAGGTGTTAGAACAAGGAAGATGCAGCAACTCCAAAGAGAAACCTCTTACTTTGTCCTCACTTAACACTGTCTGAATAAGCTGTCTTAACGCTCTGATCATCAGTAGAAAGGGGTTTCACAAGAACACTTACCTACACACTGCATTAAACAAAGCAAGCTAGAAAAGAAAACGGTAAAATCACAGTTGGTCATTCCTGCACAGAGGACTCTCAGGCATCAGAGACCCTCGTATCACGGAACCTTCTTTCAGCATGGGTACCACCTCTTGCATCATAGGCGCATTCAAATCTGATTTCAAGCCAAAGAATTGTCCTTTCACGTATGTCTCAGTTTCATTCCTTAACCTTCAATGTCAGCCCTAAACCAGTTAGTGCCCAAGTATTGGCAATCTGGGAGGTGTACTCTTCCAGAGAGAGAGTAGAGATAGAGAAAACCTTTTACAATTCGAAGCTTCCCATATCGTTGGGGTTTGGGTCCGAGGATGTCATTTTACTTTTTCTTTTCCCAAGCCAGGCTATCACTAACAAAAGGAACTTAAATGAAAAGATCTGTGAGAATGTGTCGGACCTTCCTTGGGGTACGTCCTTCAGCGTTCGGGGCTGGTCCTCATATTCTTGTGTGGCTTCTGGGCTCCACTTGTCGGAGCTACGCTTGTCGGAGCCCCGCTGCTCCGGTCTCCTGTGCTCTGACCGCCTAGGCTCCGCCTTGACCTCCGAACGCCTGGACTCCAAGCGCCTGGACTCCGTGCGGCGCTGTTCTGTGCTCTTATGCGTTGCACTTCTATGCTCTGGGTTTCTGTGGCGCGACTCCTCCTGGGCTTGAAGAGATTTCAGCCTGAACAGAAAAAAAAAAAAATTTTTTTTTTTAAGAAAGAAAGGAGAGAGGAATGGAGAAAAAAGGTAATAAGCAACAATTGACATACTTAAGAACAGAGGCTACTCTACTTCATATGCCATTATTGCATTGGAAAACGCTGATGGAAATACATAGGAACAAACACAAATTAGCAAGGAGTCGATTTGCCAGGGCCAGGGGGCCACTCCATGTCTGCAGCTTGCATGGAAAAAGGCTCCTGAAGAAAAGATAGGCATGCAGATCCTCTAGCGAAAGCGGAGTGGGCCTGTAGTCATACTGTTCTATATTGGACTGCTCTTAACAGCACAAAACTCTGGAAACATATGACATTCAAAACCTAGACCAGAAGCTGGGCAAAAAATATACTCTCCTATCCTCACTAGCTTTGCAATTCTCTGAACAGGTGAAAAAAGAGAGGAAACTACAGTGGAAATTGAATAACATCCACAATACTAGGCAGAAGTGTGGACCTATGAAAATAATGTATTAAAGACACAAACAAATCTTTAGAAATAAAATTGGCATCCTCATAAAAATACGAAGAGCCATGGCCATCATAAAACAGGAGCAAAAGCCATAAGAAGAGGACATGTTGTGATAAAAATGATAATGGTGTAAGATGAAAAGGTAGGGGGTAAGATTCAGATGGATGTGAGGAGCTAAAAATGCAATAGCAGAATTAAAAGCTGCACTGGGAACAGTAAAGAACAGAATCGATGCTATTGGAAATCACTGAGTCATATGGTCAATGTATTTGAGAAGGTATATTCAATAGGAATAAGAGACTAAAATGACGGGAGGGGAGACTGAAGTAGAAAATAGAACAATGCTCCAAGTTAAATTTATGGCTATTTCTGAAGAAATCAGAAGGGCTGGAACATGTGTGAAGGCAATAAATGGTATTGATATATATATATTTACATATACGTATTTTAATACAATTTCCACTTGCTCTTTTTTGGGGGGAAAAAATCAAAATTACAATCAAATAAGGTATAACCTTAAAGGATCGGTGTTTATTTTCCCCTTCTAGAAATTTATCTTTAGAGAATAATCTGAAATTTAAATTAAGATTTGCCACACAAATGATCACAATGTTATTTCCAGTGTTAAAAATTGGTATCCAAGTAAGCAGTCAATATTAGGGAAATACCTAAATGATGGAACATGATACACCTATTCAAACTGAGTTCTGTAGTATTCTTTTCTTAGTAATAGAGAAAAACGATGTTAAGTGAAAAAATGGGGTCCAAAATTGTAAACTTAGTCTCATGCTGTAGTCTTAACACTATTTTTAATGTATCGACTGGAGGAAAGGTCAAATGGTAACAGTAACTAGTTCTGAAATTGTGAGAGGGTTTTTAGTTTCCTTTATACTACACTGTACTTTGAAATTTTCTCTAGTAGATAGGTAATGTTTTTGTAGGAAGAAAAATAGATAAAGCATTAATAAAAACATTGTTGCCTTTCCTCTTTGGTTGTGAACAGATTCTTTCACATTGTAATGGAATACCAAAAAAGCTAAATTCAAAGATTAATCAGCAGGCTGCAATAATCCTGTCATTTTTTTCCTTACTGCTTTCTTAGCTGATTTATTTCCTCCTCTGCAGCCAAAAGGGATATGGATGATCTGTTCTTGGTTTCTTCAAGAGTCTTTCCAGTTTCAGCCAGACTGTAAGAGAAATCAGTAACTAAAGACAGATTTTCCAAAAATTGGCACTTTCTAAATCAAGGCATAGGTTCTCTTGGGAACTTTTGGCATGTGATATAAATTCAACATAAACAAAATCAAATTATAAGACATCTGCATTCAATCAGATGATATTGCAAATATTATGGTGCACTTGTATGCAAAAACATGCTAGCATCCTTTCTCAATGTCAAACACAAAGAAATTACAAAGCTACCACCCCTAACCCTAAAAGACTATGTAATAATTATTAATATTAAAATGTAAAGGACAAAGAAATTCATTCATTGCCTCCTCACCATCCTAATTCGTCTGCTCTAATCACACCAAATCCTGCAATTTGGCTTGTTCTGTAAAAATCTTCATTTTTCTGCCGTATACTACCACTTATTCTCATTACTTTGCACAGTAGAGCTGCATTTCAATTTTCCCAGACTTCTTAAATGTAAAAAAAAATTATCTGCCTGCCTAATGAAAAAGCCCTCCGCAATTACACTTGACTATCAAGTATTGCATGTCTTCCTGCCTCTGACTTCTACCACTTATTAGGCATGAGTTTCCCGAGTTTTCCACATAGCTCCATCACTGTTAGTTGTAAGGACTCTCTTTATTGTAGGCAAATCATAATAAATCATACAATTTCTTGAAGTCTATCTAAATTTAATAGGAAATGGGAGTATGATGGATAACACTGGATGAAGACCAATGATTCTCAATTAAGCTGTTCTAATGCAGTGAGAAAGCATGGGTCGGCAAAGGTTTCTTGACTTTCCCAACCCTACTTCCCAGAACACCCAGGCCCTTTCATCACAGTGGTCCTGAGGCTGAGAGAGTACAGCTGCTACCTAAATTCACACCAGGCTTCCACATCCTTCAAGAGCCACTCCACAGGCCGCCCCTGACTCTCTCAGGCAAAGTTTGTTTCTCCTTTGCCTGAGCTCCTCCAACACTTGGTTCACAATTATAATCTCATTACAAACACACTATGAACTACTCGAAGGCAAAGATTTTATTTTATTTATCTTTTTATCCCCAGCACCTAAAACAGTACCTGTCACATAAGTAGATATTTGTTTTAAAAAAAAAATGAATGAATGAATGAATGAACAAAATGTCTAAAGTCTAAAACAAAGCCATAGTAGCAATAACTTCACAACAGGACTACTAGATGCTGAAAGGAAATTGCTGTAGAAAATTAAAAGAAGAAAATAGACTAAGAAAGGAAGGAAAGTATGAATAAGAATAAAGTGGGTTTTTTTTTTCCTCTCAAGACATAGCTTTCATGTGTGAGCACATATGGTGCCCTTGGATGACAAACACAGAGAAGAAAGGAAGGTACATTCATGTGTCAAAAATTGTTTTAAGCAGGTTAATATTTATTTAAATTTATTACAGATTTATTCATTCATTGAGAAAATTATTGAGAATTTATTATGTGCCAGGCATGATGCTGGGTGCTGGAGATACAACAGTATCAAAATAGCAATAAAAGACAGTAACCCTTTGGGGCTTCTAGTCCAGTGGGTCACAAATATGCAAAGAAATTTTTTAAAGTTTCAAACTGGGGTAAGTGCTATTTTTGGATCATTGTGAAAAAGAATTAAAGGAGGGGGAAAGGAAAGACTTTTCAATTTTCAATCTATAGTGGTCACAGATAGACTGAGAAAGTCACTTTTAAGCTGAGACCTGAAGGACAACAAAGAGCCAGCCACGCAGAGAGCCAGCAGAAGACTTCCATTTTTCTGAAAGAACACAGGCAAAGGCCTCAAAGTGAAGAAGTAGACAGTGGACAAGGTGAGGGGAGCCTGGCAAGAGATGAGGGTGAAGCTAGAGGTAGGGCCGGATCATGCAGGGTTGTGATAGCCTGGGAAGGAGTTTAGAAATTTTTTTTACATATAAAAGGAGGCTACTAACAGCTTCTAAACAGGGAAGTGACTTCATATAATACAAATATATCTATTCTTGCTATGTGAAAAATGGATTGTAGTAGAAGAAGAATGAAAACGGGAAAGCCAGTTGGAAAGCAATGGGTTGAGGCAAGAGCTATCAGGGCAATGGTAGTAGAATAGAAAGAGACAAATGTGGGAGATGCTTAGGGGGCAAGTTCAACTGGATATTCTAATAACTGGGTTACAGGAAAGGACAAAACGTGAGATTCCTAACCAGAATCTAGGCACAAAATCAAGCGGTCTTCCTTTGTATAGGGTTCGTCGAACCCGGGCAGACCTGTCCCTATCAGTGCTGCACTGGAATTTACATCTTAGGAACTGAGTCACAACCGAACTGGTCTCCACAAGGTTAGACATGGGAACCTCCTTGGGTGGGCCATTCATTCCACAGCAGGTAGCATCCTGGCTTTAGAGACAGGCAAGCAGAGTAAGAGAGGGAGGCGAGAGCTGGCCACAGTAGAATGTGAGGAACAGCCTCTATCATTTATGATGCCTTAAATAAAAACATGACCCACGGGTGGATTCAAGACAAAATGAAACTAAGAAATTCAGGAAAAAGCAACAAGCTCCTTCCTGTGAGCAACTTTCAAAGGGATGGAGGGGCGAGGAGTGTGTGTATGTAGACAGAACACACAGGAGAATGATAAAGCAAATAGGACAAAAGGTATATGAAAGAGTACATGGATGTTCTTAGTACTATTCTTGCAAACTTTCTCCATTTGAAATAATTTCCAAATAACACGTTTAAAGAAATGCATGCAGTCATGGTTTCTTGGTCCATAGTGCCCCTTCTAGGTAACTACAGAGCCACAGTGACAAGAGAGGGAGGGAGGTACTCCTGGCTCCCTGTTGGCGCTAATACACATCAAGAACCAGCAAAAACTGGAAGCCCTGCCTCTCAACTAGAGGCAAATGGAGCGACCTGGTCATCAGCAGCAGTGGTCAGCAAATGTCCAGGAAACCTAACCAGAAAAGCCATAACTCAGCACCCATTAGCATAAGACACTAATGCCCAGGTGTAACTGAAGCCAGCAAGAATCCAGTGAGCAGTACAAGACCGAAAGCCCCTCTCCTCCAGCACCGGGAGAGCATGTAAGCATCTCTCTACCACTAAGATGCCAATCTAAGGAAGGAGGGCAGTGAGACTCCTTGAGAGGCAAACACAGCTCCTAATAGAAGCTTGAACTTGGAATTAATGAAATATTTACACAAAAGGAACTATAATAAACCAGAAAAGAAGTGGCAAATTTAAGGATCTTCCTTACCCCGCTCTAAATCATCTCACGTTAGTTGAAATAAGCTACAGAAATTTAGAAGATTTATGCTTTTTGTACATGACATTCATAAACTTTCACTGCTGCAGCTATAAAACCGCTCATTGATGATGGTTCCAATTAAAAAAATGAATGGGGGTATGTTGAGGTAACTATGCATGTGCATGGAAGCACACACAAAGAAAAATGTCTGGAGTAAAATATGCCAAAATATTAACAGAGATGAGAAAACAGGTGATTTTCATCTTAAATTTTTATTTGTTGGATGCGTTTTGAGCAAGAAATTTGTATTATCTAATCAGGCGAAACTAAGTTGGTAGAGATGTTTTCCTTCAAAGGAAATCTTATCGGAAAACAAGGAAGAATGCAACACCCTATTCCATCACAAGCCCTAACTAGTTAAAAAGAACTTCTTGCTGTTCCATATGTGTTAGCAGTGGAGCAATGCTATGGTAGGAGAAACACCTTACTGATGTATTTTTGTTAAGTATGTTGAATGCAATTTCATACAGATATGTCTACCTTCCTCAAGTACGAGCCAAAGTTTGTAATTTTCTTTGCAGTGATTCCTTTAGCTTATTACCCTGGCTTTGCACATAACATGGATCTGATACCTGTTGCTGCCTGGCCTTACTTAAATGTTTTAAAATATATTTTTATATCTAATAATTACTTCAAAATCTTAAATTATTCATTTTTTAAAAGTCTGATCTCTCAGTCTAACCCCTCAAATGAATACAAATGACAGATAAATGTAGCCTGCTTCATCTTGCTTTTGCTCTTTCTCTTAATTTTTCTCTTTACCTGATCTGACACCCTCCTCAATCCTTTCCCTCTGCATCTTGATAGATTTTCATGTAACAATATTTCTCTGTTTATAAATATGGGCTGATAACGAGCCTATGGAGAAGGAGCTCCAGGGATGGAGCCAAGGAGACCAGGGTCTTAGGGATCATAATATAATACAGAAATCCTGTCCCTCAAATCAAAGACACTGACTCTCAATTCTCTCTCTCTCTCTCCCTCTCTCTTTCTCCCTGCTTCCCTTCCTCTCCCCACCACACATATTACTTATAAGCAAATGTCCACATTTTACATGAGCCATTATTCTCCTTTCAAACTTAAAAATTAAATGAAGAATAAACAATTCCTTTCGGAAAAAGATAACTTGCATTCCTCTTACTCGTCTTGAACCTGGTTGAGTTGATTACGAGTTGAGTTCAGTTCATAGTCTAATTGGGAATCCCGAGCACCAGACTCTTTCTGTTTCTCCTTATCAAATGTGTCCTGCAATGATACACACATCAAAAAATTGTCTGAATATATGAAACAACATAGACAGATTGCAAAAACATTATGCTGAGCAAAAGATATCAAGCACATAATGTATGGTTCTTTTTACATGGACTTCTAGTGCAGGCAAAATTAATCTAGAAGAGTGGTTGCTGGCGCCCCCTTCCGGTCACCATGTTTCATGGTGTGTGGGTTTCAAATTGAGCTAGAGGCAATGGCGGCGGTGGCGGCAGCAGCTCTGCGGGCTCCTTTCGCTCCTGCCTCCCCAGTGCTGCTGGCTACTGGTGGCCCAGAGGAGCGGAGGTCTGCATTGAAATTACAACCAAATTATAAAATAATCGATGTGGAGAATCACCTGAAGTCCAGCTGATCATAACACCTACGTCTAATAATATAAAGGAGCCATATCGAAGCCGCGAGAATATCCAGGCACAGAAGTTGCAGCAAAACTGAGGATGTATTGGCCGGATGGACCTTGTCTCCCTGAGATTCCACTTCACCCAACACAAAGTGCCTGCAGTCCATTGATAAGCAGCCTCTTGTGCGCTGCTTGGCTCTAGGGTTGTGCAGTCAGCGCAGGCCACAGATCTTGGCTAGTGCAGTGAGCACATTTCGAGGAAAACAATTGTGGATAGATCACTACTGCCTGTACGAGCTGCAATATCTCTTGAGGGGGATTGCAGGAGTCTTTACTGGCCTAACGGCCCTTGACTCCCTGAGCTCTTGCCCCACCAATACACAAAGTGCCTGCTGCACATTGGTAGGCAGCTGCCCTGCCCTGGGGTAGCACATTTCGGCCCAGGGTGGACAGCAGCTGACCTTGTTATGAGTGGAAACTTCTACAGGGAGCCATAGAAGACAGCATTGGTGCGTAAACTTACACTGCAGTGGCAGGGGGAAATTTACTCACTAGACCCAGGAGATTTCCAGGGTCCCTGTGCCTTCCAACACACATATCACCCAGAGGCTCATTCAGTTTCAGAGACAAAACCAGTGGTGTAAGTTACATTTCCATTTCCAGCAAAAACCAGTGCTGTGAGTCACATTTCAGAGATCCAGCATAGGCAACAACCATTAGCAGATCGCTTTGTGGTTCTCTCTGGGTAGCCCTGAGCAATCAAAAGCAGAGGCTAATCTTGGCCTATGAGGGAGCCCCTCTCAAGGGGCCACAAAACCAATGCATCTGGAGGCTGGCACCAGACCACAACAGAGCAACTCCTGACTAGTCCCATTAGTGATACAAACAAAAGGGTGGTTGTAACAAGTACACAAGCCTGCTAGGGCAAATCCCATTCAGTGGGGTCTGCCCCCACACAACAACTCTTACCCTGTGGGTGCAGCCAGTTTTCACAACTAGTCAGCCTGAGCATTAATCCCATCTACTGATGTACTAACAACAATAAAGGCTTGGCAGCAACAGAAGATCACACACAACTCACACAAAGATCACATCCAGAGCCCCCAGCATAAGGGATCAGGGAGAGTGCACCACTGGGCCACACAGGACACCTTCCACATTAGGCCATCTGGCCAAGGCTGAGAGACAAAAGAAATATTCCTGACACATAAAAACAAACACAGAGAGGCTAATAAAATGAGAAAACAAAGAAACATGCCGCAAAATTAAACAAAAGGGGAAAACTCCAGAAAATAAGCTAAATGAAATGGAGGCAAGCAACCTACCAGAGACAGAGTTCAAAATAATGGTTATAAGGATGTTCGATGAACGTATGGGGAGAATGTATGAGAATAATGAAAACCCCAACAGCATAAAAAAGGACATAGAAATCATAAAAAAAAGATCCAGACAGAAATAAAGAATACAATAACTGAAATGAAGAATACACTAGAAGGATTCAACAGTAGATTGGACAAAGCATAAGATCGAATCAGCGAGTTGGAAGACAAGGTAGCAGAATACACCCAATGAGAACAACAAAAAGAAAAGAATTTTAAAAAACGAGGATAGTTTAAGAGACCTCTAGGACAACATGAAGCGTAAAAATATCCAGATTATAGGAGTACCTGAAGAGGAAGAGAGAGAGCAAGGAATTGAGAATCTATTTGAAGAAATAATCAGAAAATTTTCCTAACCTGGCAAAGGAATTAGACATACAAGTTCAGGAAGCACAGAGTCCCACAAAGAGGAATTCAAACAGACCTACACCAGACACATCATAATTAAAATGCCAAAGGTCAAAGACAAAGAGAGAATTTAAAAGCAGCAAGAGAAAGGCAGCTAGTTACTTACAAGGGTACCCCCATAGGAATGTCTGCTGACATTTCAATGGAAACTTCGCAAGTCAGAAGGGAATGGCAAGAAATATTCAAAGTCATGAAAAACAAGAATCTACAACCACGAATACTCTACCCAACAAGGCTTTCAATTAAAATGGAAGGTGAGATAAAGAGCTTCCCAGACAAGGAAAAGCTTAAGGAATTCATCACAAACAAGCCAGCATTACAAGAAATGTTAAAAGGTCATCTGTAAAAAAAAAGGAAGGGAAAAAAAGAAAATACAAATAACAAATATGAATAATAAAATGGCAGTAACAATGTACCTATCAGTAATCACTTTAAATGTAAATGGATTAAATGTTCCAATCAAAAGACATAGGGTAACCAAATGGATAAGAAAACAAGACCCATGCATATGCTGTCTACAAGAGATCCACTTCGGATCAAACGACGCTCATAGACTGAAAGTAAAAGGATGGAAAAAGATATTTCACACAAACGGAAATGAAAAAAAAGCTGGGGTAGCAATACTTATATCAGATAAAAGACTTTAAAACAAAAGCTATAAGAGACAAAAAAAGGGGTATTAATAATGATTAAGGGATCAATAAATCAAGAGGAAATAACCCTAATAAACATACATGCACCCAACAAAGGAGCACCTACATACATAAAGCAATCATTGACTGACATAAAAGGAGAGATCAATAGTAATACACTCATAGTAGGAGACTTTAACACGCTATTGACAGCAATGGACAGATCTTCCAGGCAAAGAATCAACAAGGAAACAATGGGCCTAAAAGACACTC